GTTTGTTTCTTAATTTGCATTAAGATTAAGGAGAGTTGTTATTTTATTTGAGTTTTGTAGAGCGTGTAATACAAGCAAAATTGTTGTAAGTTCTTTAAGAAGAAAAATATTTCAATATATTTTTTCAGTATCTTTATCAAAAAATGACACAAACTTTATAAATTTCAACATAATACGTATAAATTTTAACTGCATTTTAATCTTAAAATTATTTACACCGTGCCTTTAGGCACGGGCATACGCTAGTATAATAATATAGGAGAGAAGCACAAGTAGGCAAAGATTCAAATCTAGTGGTGTTTTGAGAAGTTGCTTAAAAAGTTGATTTTTTAGTTTTTTTAGTTTATTTTGTCTTTTTATGAGTAAAAATTGTGAGAAGTGATTTAATTCAAAATGAGTAAAAAATTAAAAGCTGACTTTCTTTTTGCTTCCTAGAAGACCCCATATAGGCCGCTTGGGAATATGTTACTATTTTAATTAGTTATTTGATTTTTTTAATATTTTAATTTGATTAAAAAAATTGTGTATGAGATGATAGTTATTATTTTTTTGTATTTAATTTGATAATTTATGAGAAAAAAAATAAAAAAAAATAATTATAAATTAAATATGATATTTTATTTTATTAATTATTTTAATTTATTTTATTTTTATCAACTATTTTAATCGAATAAAATCTAGCAAACGAGAGAAAAATAATGCAATGAACTTTTTCCCATGTGAGACTTGTCCGACGACTTTCCACATGGACCTTCTTGGGTCCAAAAAAAACAAAGAAAAATGTTTTATATCACTAATTTAGCACCATTAATGCATCATTAATGATGTGACATTATGTAGACCTCATTACAGATGTGATAAGTTGGCCTTTGTTTTGTTTTATTTTTATTTTTTTTTACATTGCCACTTTATTAGTGGTGTTTTTAGAGTTTCAAATTTAGTGTTCTAAATCACCATTCAAAAACAAAACATCAATTTAGGGTTGTTTAGGTGTTCTAAATAAGTGTTTTTTTTTTACTTTTTGGACTAAAAAGTTGAGGAAAAAAAAATAGTTATTTAGATTAACTTTTTGACTTTTTATGAAAAAATGTGTGTTAAAAAATTGTATAAATTAGTGTGTAGGAGAAGATTAAGAGTGTGTGTTGTACGGCCGTACTATCTGCGTACTATCTACTCAGCTGAATTGATGTTAAGAAATGATTGGCTACTTTTTGGACATTGCGCTAGACGGTACTATTCAGTCCGTGGGGGCCATCACGGGTCCCGTTTTAATAATCTGAACCGTTCAATATGTAGAACTCGTCAAGTACTATATACCTATACAAAATCACGTTGATCCGATATCGATAGTTATTTGATCAGATTAGTTTATTTTCAACCGTTAACTATAACATCATCCTTTTTTTTATACAAAACTGATTTGATCATGTAGTTAGAGATATTTGATCAATGAAATTTTTTACAAGTATATAATAATCGACATGGTCTACATATTGAACGGTTCTGATTATCAAAACGAGACCCATGATGGGCCCCTACAAGCTGAACAACAGTGTGTTAAACTTGCACCCTAGCTGTGCAATTTTTCTTAAAAAACGCAGCCACATTGCACTGAACCGGTTAGATCTGTCTTGTAATTTTGTGTGTAACATTAATTTTTTAATATTTTTTTTATGAATAGTTATAACTTTTTAAATAATTTTTTGACTTTTTAACTTTTTTAAACATGCCAAAGTTGACCCTAATGTACCCCAAAACAAAACTTACTAGTCTTCATTGTCTAGTTGTCTTCATCTCTGCCTTATCCTTTTAAGGTTTTTATTTGTGATGGAGTGGTGTTAGACTACTCTATAGTTTGAGTTCTAAATTCAGTTTTAATGATGTAAAAATTAAAAAAAAAAAAAAAGTTCAAAATTAAAAAAAAAAATTTAAAACATCACATTAATGGAGTAAGACTCGTCTTTAGAGTTGCTTTAAAACTCATGTTTTAGAACTCCAAAACATTTTTTTATTTGTGATGGCATACAACTCTTATCAGTCTATTCTATATTTTATGGAAATATTGTGATACACATTTTTCAAAAAGTATGTATTATATGTATATTATAATTAAAAAATTTATATAATTTATATTCTTTGAATTACAGCTTAAAAACAATAATGATATAGAACTCTAATTTTAGAGTTCTAGTGATGTGGCAAAAGAAAAAAACAAAAACATAGATACATACGTCGCATCACATGTGGGCGCCACTATTTACCATATCACTAAAACTCTTGTAGAATTTCAAAATTAGAGTTCTCAATATTTATTCCTTTAAAAGAATTAACAATGATACATAACTCTAAACTTGGGACTCTAACTAGGAATTCTAATGAGATGGTAAGGTAATAATAATAATAATAAATAAAAATAAAAAAAAACTACCAAAACATCAAATCAATGGGTGGGTTTCACCCGTTAGAGCTTCTTTAAAGCTCTCAAATATTTTTGTAAAAAAATATATCATAACTAAATTTAATAGGAGACATAATTAAAAATCTCATAAATTATAACTAAAATAATGTCATAATCAAAGGAAAAAATTAGTCATAACTAAAATAAAAATAACATAAGTAGAGATATATATGATACACCCTTTTTAAAAGCGTATATATTGTAATTTCTCATATTATTTCAAACAAGATCTTATAAATAAAGTTGAAAAAATTACAAATCAATGAGAATTTTTTTAAAAAAAAAAACTACAAAATTATGAAAAAAAAATCTAATACTTTAATTATTAAAATGGGTAAATTTTACCACTGAAATGCAATTTATTTTTTTGTCATACACTGAATTGCAATTTACCCAATAAAATTTGATATCTAAAACTTTGCAACTATATATATATACTAGAGAATTTAAAGTGTTCATTCGTATAAATTAAAGAGACTAATAATGTAATTTACTCTAAAATCAAACAAAATATTGAAAACCTGAAAAGGAAGTATAATATTATATTTAAAGTAAAGGTTGAAGTTAGTATATTGAAATTTTTATTTTTTGTAGGGTAAGAATATCCTTCATAATTTTAAAAAAATTTACCTATAATCTTATAACCACTTGAAAGTTAATTCACAAAATAATAACCGTTAATAATTACTGCTTAAATTTTAATTTTTTTTATCGATAAATTATAAAATAACATTTTATTTTATTTATCTATATAATACATAAATATATTTATTATTCTTTTTCTTACACCTCAAAATTACTTGTTAGCATCTGAATTCTTTATCTTGAAACGTAATTTTTTTAAAATTAAAATCACATTGCGTGGCATGGCTGAGAGATGCATCAACAAGATCAAAGTAACAATAATAATATTATTAGAATTAATTTTTTCCATGAGCTGCATGAGGCCTCAAAACCAGCAATCCATAGATTAAAAAAAAGTAATTAAAATCAATGGTGTGGCTGAGAAATAAATGTTCAAGATAGAATCCTAGCCCCACTCCTGTGTCAACGAGATCGAAATAAGAATTGCTTGACACAATTGTTATTTTTATTTTTAAGGTACGTACGTGTAGGTCATAATAAGTGAACTTATTGTCTAATAGGTCCTATGAAAAAAATTTATCGTAAAAAAAGTCACTAATTGTAAGTTTTAATGGCAATTTATAAAAAATCATGACAAAAAAATTACTAATTGTCAATTTTTAGCGACGTATGTAAAAAATTGTCACAAAAAAATTATTTTTAGTGACAATTTTACCAAGACTTATTTTCAATAGAACTTGATGGGAATTAAGGCCAAGTTTGGCATTAACAAAATAATCCATCTTTTTATCTTTGTATCTTTTTTCCATCACATCACCTCTCTACTTTTCTGCATATCTTTTCGTAAAAAGACAAAAAGTACACTTAGTTAGATCATCCCAAACAACCCCTAAGTCTAACTATTAGAACCTATTAATAGTTTAATCATATTTTTATTTTATTTTTTCCCCCATGAGTTGCACGAGGCTTGTAAACAGCCACCCAGAATTATTTTTTTCCATGAGTTGCATGAAGCCTATAAGCCAACCACAGTCTCAGCTTCAAGTAAAGAAAATAATTCTCATATTTTTATTTTATTTTTTCCCCCATGAGTCGCACGAGGCTTGTAAACAGCCACCCAGAATTATTTTTTTCCATGAGTTGCATGAAGCCTATAAGCCACCACAGTCTTGGCTTCAAGTAAAGAAAATAATTCAAATTGCCAAGCAACTGTCTAGGTTGTTTTTGAACCACAGTCCACACACTATCCATTAGCCAGAGTTCAGACCCACCATCCATGTGCCTATAGAAACACTTATTGAGTGCCATCCATGGCATTGACATGTCATGCCTCATAATCATCTGATTAGTGCTCACATGAAACACCTCACAAATAAATGATTCATGTTTGGAAAAATAGAGGGGGCATCAATTTATTTTATGTCCTAATATTCATCCTGATAGATAGGATTATAAACGAGAGTCAAATAATAAGTTATTTAAGTTTGACTTAAAAACTTAACGAAATTTAAAATATATTTAAATTTAACTTGTTTACGTAATGAGTCCGTCTCGAACAAACTTTAACCAAGTCAAACAAAGAAAATAAACAAAGAAAATCTGGCTTAAAAAATTAACAAGTTTTAAATTTTGTTCAAATTTGTCTTGTTTGCATAATGAATATATTTTTAACGAGTTAAATACAAATTCAATTCAAATAATTTGATTATTCAAGTGAATCAGTAATTTGATTATTCAAGTGAAGCATTAATTTGATTATTCAAGTGAAGCAGATGAAGAGAAAAGCTCCTCCACTTTTGCCATTGCCCTTAAAATTGTGAGAAACTCTACCATGCATACCTGTTTAAATAAGTGTATATATATCTTAATTATTGATTATAGTCACATTAGATCATAATTAACACTATTTTAAGGCATAATCCAAGACTGTTTTTTCATAATCAAAGCTACCACAATTGAGTCGTAATCAATATCACTTTGAAACATAACCAAACACCGCAATAAATTGCAACCAATTTAATTTAACAACTTGCTAACTCAACCACCACTATAGCCCGTTACCAAACACCACCATTGTTGTTAACCAACACTAACTTGGATATCATGATCCTAAAATTGTAATCCACCTTATGCCAACTACACTACTAGTACCTGTTCATCAACTACTACAAATATAAAAGGCAAAGGCCCCTCCTAGTTTTGTGGGAGATATGGAGAACAAAACTTTGACATTTCAATTTCACCAATAAATTAACAAAACCTCTACAAATGCAACTAAACTTTCTGGACCAGTTCAAGTATAACATTACCAAGTAATACTACCAATAATCTAAACAAGAACAACTCCCATCTTTGAAATGATGGAATCGAGTCCGATCTCTCACTACAATTTCCCTTCCATAAATCCTCGAAACAAGCTTAGTACTAGCATGGCAATCGCCACATACTCGAAGGTTCTTTATAATCCGAATAGGTGCATTGGAATCAGAAGCAATGAGAGCAAAAGCAATCGCTAGCCTTTCACTGTGGTATGAGAGGGCATCTTCCTTCTCTTCCTGTTCTATGTCAAACAACACTTCTTTGATTCTTGGGTTATGACCGTATACTTGTAATTGCCTACAAATCTCTTCAAGTTTTGAATATATTTCTTTAGAACGTGGATGTGTCTTGTCCCCGATGATGAACTCATGAATGGCACCATCAACCTCAACTAGGCTACTTCCCGGTACTTTGTCAAGCCCATGAACTTTCATTAGCTTCCTCACTCTCTTGACATCATTCCATCTATCAATCATTGCATACATATTTGACAAAAGAACATAGTTCCCACTAGTCTCTGGCTCTAACTGAATCAAGTTTCTGAGTGCAACTTCCCCTATCTCTAAATTGCCATGTACCCTTGCTGCCCCAAGCAAAGACCTCCACAACACTGCATTAGGCTTCATGGGCATGGCAAGAACCCTTTCCTCAGCCTCCATGAGCCGCCCAGCTCGCCCTAGAAGATCCACCAGGCACCCATAGTGCTCAAGTTTCGGCTCAATCCCATAAGCCTCCTTCATGGACTCAAAAACATTGCAGCCCTCATCCACCAGCCCAACATGCGAGCAAGCACACATTGTAACTACTATTGTCACATCATCTGGAACCAATCTCTCAAATCTCATTTTCTCAAAAAGCTGAAGTGCTTGATGTCCATAACCATGAATTGCCAACCCTCTAATCATTGCATTATAGCAAAATGTGTCTCTTTGAGGCAATTGATCAAACAACTGGTTTGCCAAATTGAGACACCCACAATTTGCATACATATCAATCAAAGCAGTACCCACAAAGTGATTTAGCTCAAGATTGTTCTTTAGTACATAAATATGTGCCCAAGTACCTTGACTAAGAGCAGCCAAATCAGCACAAGCACTGATTAGGGCCACAAGGGTAATTTCATTGGGCCTAATTAGAGAATTTTGCATATCACTAAACAAAGACAAAACTTCCATTGACAAACTAATGTCACTAACAGAATTAACACTAGCATTTCGAGCATAAGCAGATAATATAGAGTTCCAAGTAGCCAAATCTGGCTGAGTAATTTGATCAAACAGATATCTAGCAATGCCCACTTTCCCACATTTTGAATAGAAGTTGAGCAATGAGGCTTGAACAAAGTGGTCATATGGGGGTTCAAGAAATTTCAAGACATGGGTATGTAAGGCTCGACCCTGTTCGATCCAGGGGTGCGACCCACAGGCCTTGAAGAGAGATGGGTAGGTGTAATTGTTGGGTCTGAGGGTGGTGTGAGTGAGAATGCGAGTGTAGAGAGAGAAGGCAATGTGGGTGTGGTGTTTTTGTTTGTGGAGGCTCTTGGTGAGGGACGAGATGAGGGTGTTGAAGAGGAAGATTGATGGGTTAAGAGCTTGGTTGAAGATTGTGAGGGTGTAGGATAAGGAGGAGGCTAGAGTGGTGGATAAGAGGAGGATGCGACTGAGTGGGTAGGTATGGAGGATTAGACCAGTTGTGATCATTTGGGCATGGACTTGTGAGAGGGTGTCTAGGGTTTTGCATTGTTGTAAGAGTTGGATGGCCCGGTTGTTAAAGATAGGGTTCGACACTTTCATGGACAATTGGACATCTGCGCAAAACACACATAGTAGAGAGAGAGAGAGAGAGGGAGAGAGAGGATTTACCGGTCAAGTAGCCAAAAAATATATAAAATTAGAAAACACGATAGCCATTTTATAACCATAAATAAAAATGTTATAGTTTTAATTTTAATTTTTTAAGTCATGATTAAAAATTTATGAGTCATAACTGAAATAATGTCATTATTAAAGAAGAAAATAATATAATTAAAGAGACATATATTAGAATTTCTCATAAAATTGAATCAATTTTAATTGATTTAAAATTTTTAAATCTAAAATTAAGCCAATCATCCATTTGAATCGATTGAAATTGTGATTTCATCTTAGTTTTTAAAATTTTATAAATGCTCATTCTAGAACTTTTTTTTAAAAAAAAAATAGTTTATAAAAAAAAAATTATATCATATATGATTAAGGCAGAGATTAACATCATAAGTTCTATGAAAATATGTAGACCATGTACAAAATTTTGCATAAGATACACATGATCAATTCTTAGGTTTGTTCAGGTATGAACCAAATTAAGTTGATCCAATTGGTTATTTGAGGTCAAAATGAATTGGGTTTGTTTGATAACTGAACTAACTCAATTTATAGAGACTAAATTAATTTTGCTCACGAGAGTAGATATTTATAGTGATTTTACGTGATGATATTAAATTAATGACAATTCTCATGTTGCGGTTATAAGACTACACAGTAGACTTTTTTTTGTTATTTTTGCCAACACTACATAGTAGATTTAAAAATATCTTCAACATTGAATAAAATTTTTTATCAAATTTAAGTAAAAATTTGATTTGATACCGTTCACTCCAATATTAAAATTAAAATTTTCATCATATTTTTTTATATCCCCGATTATGCAGAAGGACATCCGGCAGATGTCTTAGAGGTCATTCGGACATGAATAAAAAAAAGCTATCAAAGTTGCTCTTCAGTGGACATATGAGTGGACATCCGGGAGAATGTCCGACCCAACGATAACAATTTAAATTTGATGAAAAATGAAAATCTCCCTTCGTTTGATAAAAGTTTTGGTTCATCTCTCATTTGATGTGAATTTAATGAAAGGGTTAGAGATTAAACAATTATCATTTTTTATCAAATTTAAATTTGATAAAATATTAAATGCAGCGTTAGAGATGGTCCAAGAGACAAAAGTTAGCTCAGTAATTTTTTGGGTCGTTTGCCCACCACTACTACAGAACACAACATCAATTCTGTAAGTAGGCTGGCTGCAAAGTAGCCCATGCTTGCTAGAAAACGAAATTCAATGAACAATTTGAGAAAACATGAAATTTGGGCTAGGTTTTAATTGGGCCTGCTGGTCTATCTTGTAGTGGGGTGTGAATTTGTCAAGTGGGTGCTATCAGCCATGTACTTGAAACTTTTTTCACAATTGCTTTCTCAAAATTTTCCAGTGGAGTGAGCACATAATCATTATGAATCATATCATACAATAAGCACAAAACTCACAAGTAGGACAATGATGATTCATTGCTATAGTGGTTCTTAGCTAATAATTGGCTCCACCTAAAGGTTGAAAGAGTGAAACTCATTCTTTTTCAATGATGATAACTCTCTTGTAAGCTGTAAACACAGATCAAAAAATCAACCTTTAGGAAGGATAGTCTAATCAGAGTCTCTGTCAATTTGCTTTAATAATACTAGCATAGCATGTGGTATAAGTTCATGATGATCCTATCATTTTTTCTCCCCTTTATAAAGTTTGAAGTTAATGTCCTTTTGTTCTTGTATTTGCCTTTCTTATCTTTTCTTGTCTTGCCTTTTCTTTCTTTCTTACAATTGCTTCCATTTAAAGGGAATCATTCCATCATTAGTCTAGGTGATCCACTAGCATCTTCAAATTTTGGAGGAATTATGAATCAGTTTAAAAGTTTAGAGGAAGTACAAATTAATTAAAAAATGAGGTAAGTAGTTACAGATTTATGGAATTATATATTATTGAGATAAGTGTTGTGTCTCATAACATAATTTTCACTTATACTAAAATACATATATATAGGCTTGGTTTGAGAAGTAGGCTAGCTTTTTAGTTTTTTCTATTTTTTTTAACTATTTTAGTCTGGGGCTAAAAAACTTAGGTTGAGAGAAGGGTTTTTGACTTTTTTTTGATTTTTTTGTGAGAGAAAAAATATAATGATTATGAATTAGATGTGAGGTTTTGTCTTATTAGGACTAAAAAATCTATTTTATTTTTTGTGATTATTTTAGCTCCAAACCCACTTCCCAAACAATGCCATAATTGTACTTTTACAAATTTGTAGTTGAAAATAAATTGTTTCTGGGAGAGGGGTGCCTGCTGTACAGCAGGCACTGCTGTACAGCCAAAAGGGCAAAAAGAAAAGAAAAAAAAAACAAAAATATCTGAAGCTCCTTATTTTTCCATTCACGGCACAGCCTGCTGTGCTTAAAGCACAGCAGGCACCCCTTGTCCATTGTTTCTAACCATCCAGTTGGACTCAAAGAGTCTACATCATTAAATTGATTTATGAGTTCATTATGTGAGTTTATATGTATTGATCGTTCTAAAATAAATAAATTAGTCTAACAATTGTAATTATATAATTTTATAAATAAAACAAGCAAAGGGAAAATTTTGACTAAAATCTGCAACATCATCTACCACTCTTTGTTATCATCAACTCAACAATCATATTCGTGATAGCTCCATAAGAAACAAAAACAAAAGTTTGGGAGTAGCTTCTCTTTCCTTTTCTTTTCAAATTGTTTCTTTCTCAATTTTTATTTTTTATTTTTTTTTTTATTTTTTTTTTTTTTTTACAAACCATGATGTACACATATTATGTGTGTGGCCCATAAACATCAAACAAATAATAAGGCTATAAACCCAAAATAATCTACTTAAAATTTATTTAGAAATAAGAATTAATTGTTCAAATTCATTTTACTCATAAATTTCAAACTTCATCAATTTAATTTTTACTATACGTATCAAGTATGGGACCCTATCTTTTTGGCAAAACAAAATGTTATTGAAAGTGAAAAAATTAAGTAAAAAACGATATTATGGATACCACTGCTCCAATATAAAATCTATAGAAAGAACAACAATTCATCATTTTTCGCCCTCTATCTCACAAAGATAAAAAGCTATGTAAATCTATTATAATTTCTAATCCACAGCTAAAGCAGTTTTGAAATATAAACAAATATACGAAGCATATATCTAAACATGAAAATGTACAGAAAATAGGTTGGTTTAGGAGTTGTTTCGGACGTCCTAAATAAGTATATTTTTTATCTTTTTAGACTAAAAAATTGAGGAAAAAAATATGGATATTTGGGTTAACTCTTTTACTTTTTATAAAAAAATGTGTATTAAAAAATTGTATAAATTAATGTGTAGGAAAAAATTAGAATTGAAAATTATACAATTATAATTTTTGACTTTTAATAAATAATGATAACTTTTTAACTTTTTAAATAATTTTTTAATTTTTAAACTTTTTTTTCAACTTACTAAACTTGACCTTGACCAAGAGATAACGTCGGACACGCGTATGTATTACCACCAGTCAAAGCACAAAAAAGGTCAAGATTGGTAGTAGCCTCTCAATAATAATAATAATAATGGATCCCAATAACAAAATACCCTTTTGTCATATCCGATAAAAATAATAAAAATAGGATTAGCTTTCTCTCCAATTCGTGATCAGATTAGACTATATTATTAGATTTGTGAAAATCTATTACGGGTCTCGTTTTAATAATTTAAACAACTTAATGGGTAGAACTCATCGAGTAATTTATCTTTGTAAAAAATCACGTTGATCGAATATCGATAATTACTTGATCAGATCAGATTTTTGTCAACGGTAAATATAATTTTTAAATAAATTATTAACAAAAATCTGACCCAATCAAGTAACTATTAATATTCGATTAACATAATTTTTTATAAAGGTAAAATACTCAATAAATTTTACACATTAAATAATTTAAATCGTTAAAACAAGATCTGTAATAGGCCTACCGACCTAACCACACCGTCTAGAGACAAGCTGCCTCTAAAACTATAGATAAAGTGAAAGCGAAAGTGAAAGTAAAAGTGAAATAAAGTTTTTATAAGCACTTTTGACGAAAATGATAGAACCATTCACCTCCATGATTGAACTCCAAGCAAAGCAAAAGCATTTTCACAACCCCCTTAAAGGCCTGAATATTTACGATATATCGCTTTCGAACACAACACAACCACTCTTTTACCAAAACTGGTCTCTGGTCCTCAATCTCTGTCTAGTTAGCAAAAATAAATTAAAAGATTTTGAAAAAGTAACTTTGAAAAATTATTTAAGGAAAATAAGAATTTAGCTGCCCTTTCGCCCGATCCATGGACCCATCACAAACCTACCTTGATAGTCTATTAATATTATGTTTGTTTTTCAAATTTTAGTGGGTAGATAATTAATAGAAATTTTTTTGAAAAATAATAAAAAAAAACTAGTCATAACTATATAGTTTTATGATTTTTATCTTCAAAAAAGTAAATGATGTATTTGTAAAATCATAGTTGTTGATTTTTTTTAAAACAATTTTTTTTAAGGCAAAAATAATGATTATATATAATTATAATTATCAAATTAATTTAAAAAGAAAATTTTATGCATCATCTACACGCCAAATTGATAATTGAAGAAGGTCATATGGTGGGTCTCATAAACTAGACTGAACCTCCGTTTGAGAAGTTGGTTTTGAAGTTTTTTTTTTATTAAAATAGTCACAAAAAATAAAATAGTTTTTTTAGTTCAATAAAACAAAATATCACATCTAACTCATAATCATTACAGTATTTTTCTCACAAAAAAAACTAAAAAAGCCAAAAAAAGTCAAAAGCCCTTTCAAACCAGGCTTTTTAACCTCAGACTAAAATAACCAAAAAAACCAAAAAGCTAACTCATTTCCCAAAAGAGCTTAATGGGCTAGAGAATAGTTGAATTCAAAAATAAAATGTGTAGGTGTTATTATCATATAAAATAATAGCAATGCTAAATTCA